ACTTGTTCGTGCTCCTAATCAAGAGATTCGAGCTCTAGATACAAGCTTAGAAGTGCAATTTCGGGGATCAGCTCCATTCTCAACTACGTGATCGGTTAATTACTGGGATCAATATTCCGAATATAGAGAAAGAGCTGGTTCAGATACCTTCCTGAATCTTTCAAGCTGCTAATGATTTATTCATTGCATATTAAGATGTCAACAGTGAATAGCCAGCTCCCACTGCGTCGGTGTCTGATATCATGCTGTCCAAATTTGATAGTGCAAGTGTTCATAAAACGAAATCGAAACTGTCATCCACATGCGACGGAATACAGACAGAAAGCAAAAATATCAAACCGTGTATTTCACATAGAAAGATTCATCTATGATGCACTTCCGGTTTTTGGGTTGCCGAATGCCATAAATGTGGTAAAACTGAGCACATGAAGTATGTTTTCAGGATTTCGAACACTTATGCTACTCAGAATTCTCGTGATTCTCCCAATTTGTCCAGTGAAGTGCAGTCAAAGTTTCTTTCAACTTTCCACAGCGTCTCCACTTCTTTGAGTTTGAGATGAAGTCAATTTGCTTTTTGGTTCGCCCACCTAGTAACACTCATGTAGCCTTACATACCTTCGTGTGCTTTTATACTCTGCCCCTGATCACTGGTTCATTGAAGGTAGTGAATTCATCGAAGAGTTCTCCTTCTCCATTCATTTATTCAGGTGCTTATCGACACACAGTGAGTTCTCTTCTTCTGTTGTCTGGTCATGCTTTGGCGTTCATGTTGCCCATTAGAATTTTAATTTCACCCACTGGAGTATTGTTCATTGTCGCCTGTGATTGCCTTTAGAACTCTTTCTTCTCAACACTCGCTTTGTTTGTGAGTGTATAGCATTGTATAACTCACTCTCTTCGGTTTTGAGTGAAATCAAACAGTTATTATCCCGGGTGAGATCGCCTCCCAATGTATCCGGGCCTTCGTTTCCGTTGGTAAGATCATAATAGCCACGCCCTCGATTCGCTCAAGGTTGCCTTCTCAGTTAACGGATTGGATCACTAACTCTCGCGTCATAATTTTGTTAGTCCACTCTCATTACATCTGCTCTCACGTATTCTCAGTACTTCATTACCATATCTTTTATTAGCAATCTGAGCGGCTTTGCCAGTCTCATACATAAGGCGGACGTTCCATGCCCCACGCATACTTTCTCTTTCGTCACAAGGAGACTCATCGTACTTAAGTTTCTGTAGCAGTTTTGTTTACGGGGTAGGGTTGCTAGCCTCAAAGCTGAGAAGGGCGTTGCTGTATAGAGATGTAAGTTATAGAGGAACGACTTTTCAAGTTTCTACCTTTAGAATCAGAAAATTAAGAAGCAAAGCAATCGGAACAACAACAAAAATCACAGCAAGGAAGGCAGCGGAAATAACACCTACAAAACCCGTCATAAAAATTACCACTGGTAAAGACGATTACCAAAGGATCCATGTTGGAAAGTAAACCAAATAAACAATCAATGTAAAATTTACCAGAAAAACAAACAAACAAGGAAATGTAAAGTTTCGAGTTGTGAAGCAATTCTTAAAATACATAAGCCATTACACTGACACAAAGGCGCGGAAAGATGTTGAAGAGTACTTTCAACATCCTTCCGAAAATCATCAAGTGTAAAGATTAAATTACAGTCCAGAATAAAATACATAGCAGACATATGAATCAGGTGTAATTTTATTTTTTTTTTTTTTTTTTGATTTACAGCTTGATTTCCACACTGTATTTTCAGTACAAGTGTGGAATTTTCAGCATGGATATCGGTTGCCCAAATTCAGGCATACCATAGATATCGGGTGTGCGCCGGTAGGGGATCGAACCCCGAACCATGTGCATGGTTGGCGAGAGTCCCAACCGCTGTGCCACCGACGCACACTATTCAAATGCACACTTTTGCATTGATGAGGACAAGTTGTTCTACTTGACTCCTGGATACAAACAACACTACTATCGAGTGGAATAGAAGGAAGTCAAAGGTAGTGTGCAAATAGTTGTCTACCCTTCCATGGTTCACCTCACCCTCGTCCTTTATCTATCTATATTCTTGTATGCGTCAAGCCCTCGTGGTTTCATTCTGCCTTCCAAGATCCACTAGTTAGTTAGTTAGATTTTCTTCTCTCAAATTAAAACTAATACTACTATTATCATTAGCATTATTTTTATTATGAATATTGGGATTGTTGGAGTCGATTTTCTAGACACTGGATCTGCTTTTCGGTTACTAAAAGGCTTATCTAAAGCCCAATGACTTTGGAAGAATATCTCTAGTGTAGCATTACTCTACACCTTTCCAGCTTCTTATCGTTACCGGGTGGCTTGTGTTTCACTCATATTATCAGCTGATGATGAGTATAAATCAAACTGTTTTCACATACTTGTATGATGCATACTTGTTCAACTAGTGGGTTTGTTTCAGTAAGAAAGAAAGCTTCATATTTCTGAATGGACGTGCTCACCTGAGATTAATCAAGTGAATTAGGCTTAGCAACTCACAAACAAGCTTAGTGTGTCAGTGTATGGATGATATAGTATGTGAGACCCGATTTGTTAAATAGTAGGTCAACTTGACTAAAATCAATACTTGTGATTAGTTCTCAGGTCAATTTTCCATCACATTACATGCAATCGAAAACTGACAATTCACTGGTTAACTACCACGAATTTTCTCACTTATGACAATAATTTATATACTCACATTCAACATTATACAAAGAGAGCGAGACACTCCACTCTTCACCATCTGCTGTGACAATCACTCGCATCTGGCTAGCAAGCACTACTCCTTGATGTGCGTTGTATACAACTACTCGGCTCAATCCCTCATTAGTGTGTAGCCACTTGGATTTATCCTTTTTTTTTATTTACAAGTTGTGCTATTGAAGAGATGACATGTAGTTTACACTCAATAATCTCGGCTTCTCAAGGAAGAAGCAGTGGTGGGAATTGCGAGGTAGTTTGAGAATTATAAATGTGATTCCTAGACACAGCCTCAAAGTCAACCAATATTTAGATTTGTTCTGCAGAAAAGTGTGATATGCATGCTAGTGTTTTGTCACCACACACATTCTCAGTGCTTATGAACATACCTGTCGTGTTTCTGAAAAGACAGGTACTCATTCATGCAATGGTGTGTGGGTGGATTGTTGGAGACAGTCTACAAGAAGCCGTGTTTCCAATACACCTTGTACTGACCATGACGATTATGCAATTGTGGTGAGAGCTATCTGTTAGCCAAAATTGCTATACAGCAATTTACGTCAATGTTTACGTCCCAAATCTTGGTCATGAGTGAAACAAGAACAAAAACTAACTAACTAACTCAGCAACTAATCACAGAAGACTATGCGTGGGCGGATACGATTCGCAGATATGTGGTCTGACATAGAAAGAAACGGCCACAGAGAGATGATCGAATAAATTTCGGGGAGAAAACAACCAATCAGAAGACGCTGTTTCCCTGCTAAAAATAACATATAATAATGTACATGAAAATCTATAAATACCTGTTGATTTTCTCAATAAACGATCTATTGCCTGGCCCTTCTCTTCTTTCGTCACACAATGAGCTCCAATTCACCTAATTCTCGCCGTCTATGTCAACTCACTACGCCTACTGATATTTTGAAACGAGTGTATGTTGAAGTCGGAGTATTTGTTACTGTCACTGGTGAGATGAGAAGGCCAGAGCTGTCGAAGTTACCACTGGCGAGAGAACTGATACGTTCACTCATCCACACATTAATTCTCCACATACACACATAAGCGAGGATTTCACCATCGGTTCATTGGAATATTAGAAGTATTGCTATGATCCGCTTGATCACCACCTGAGTTCATCAGAATTGATAATAAATTTATGTATCAGTTCAGCGATGACTCGTTTCTGAATCAGTTTAATGCGAGTCTCCACTATTCATGAATCTGATGTTTGTCGTATGCTAGGTGGTTCGCATAAATAATATCTATCAGTGAGTAGTTTTGATTGATGATTAGGAGAGGAGTACAACCCTCGATCAGTGACTACGAATATTTCTCACCAAGTATCACAAATCTTCGAGGTCAGCTAGCTAATATTATCAGAAAAATAGATATATGCCTGTTGATTTTCTCAATAAATGGTCTATTGCCTGGCCTTTCTCTTATGTCGGTACACAATGAACTCACTCATCAACTTATTTCTCCTCATATCCACATGAACGGTGCATTCACCATTGATTTTTGAGATGATACTTTGAGTACACGTCGCTATATTTGTGGAATATTATTTGGACCAGGTGTTTTTCATTTCAGTTTATCTCTACACCCTACGACTTGGGATAACTTGTGAGAGATGTATGTCTTATTCGGTTTATATGTTACTGTATTTCGTGTGCAAGCATCCTGACTCCTTCGAAGTTAAAACACGCAGGCGAATTCACCTTTTTAATTATCAAGTTACGCTGTTTCAATACACACACATAACCAACCATTTCTTCACTGGTCTATTTCAGTATTAGACGCAAACACATCACCACTGGACCGTGAAGGCATTTCAAGTTCAGTCAGTGAATTCCAGAAATCCTACTTTCTTCAAATCTTGTCAATTAAGAAAAGTGTAAGGTTCCTGAATGTCACTCAGATTGAAAGTTATCCTCAAAGTTATATTTATTTCCAGCTATATAAAAAAACATCGAACTCATACTGATTATTATCGGTTCCCTGAAGACAGTCATCACGCGTATATGAATAGACACTTTTAAGCATATTTATTGCTATTGCATGACAATCTGAAATCTGACTGTTCGGTAGTGACGTTTACGTATAGTTGTACAATTAGAACTTTGATTAATCAATGTTCTCATCAGTCATTTGTCACACATAACACCATCGCACAACTTTTTACTTCCCTATGAAAATATGAAATCTTTATACGAAATCCGTCAACTCGACAAAATAATGAGGCTGTAACATTCAAAAGAACACAGTATTTTATGAATAAAAACGTTATTTACTGAATTGTTTACAGTATTCATCTTGAGGCATCAATTCAGTACAAGGTTTTGCATTCTACACAGAAAAGAGTGAAGTAACAATCACACAACTGACACAAATAGCACAATTTTATCAATAACCTCGAGTCAGATAAACATTAGTTGAAAGGCTCCTCAGCACATCACTTGCGCCAATTGACCACTTTCCTTTCGTAGACAAATTGGTTAATCGGTTCTTTAACTCCAATTGGTAATGTGGACAAGTAAAACGGCGTATCAGCTCCTAAAATAACCAGAAACATAATTGGGTGTTTATGCTATACCAACAATAAATTATCACACTATTTAGTAGCAAAGCAGTTTATTAGAATAACAGTCGGTGAGATCTGTTTTGGATAAAACAGTACTTAAAAAAGGATATGTACAGTTCAGTGGAAAATAGGAATGAGGTTAAACTGTGCTGGAGAAAAACGTAGAGTCTGAATGAGGAGAAGCTAGACACAGTAAACAGTGAACCCATGAGACGTATGTAACTGCAGTCTACTAACTACCGACCATCACGGCTGGAATAGACAAACTCATCATTCCTCAACGAAATTAATGCTTATGACGTTTATTGAAGATGACATACTGTCTCTAAGCCAATAGTCTTTGAATAAGTGAAACATGTCGGATAACTATCCAACTCTGGTTCACTTAAGTATGCAAGTATACTTAACTTCCAATACCTCCACGTTCTGACCTACTTGGCTTCGTCACAGACCTATTAATAAATCATTGTTTTGGGAACTTACAAAACCGAAGGTCAACTCGAACTCCCAACGATCAAATAATTGGACATGACGATGAACAATACCCATTTGAGTAGTTAGACGTCTTCATATTTATATTGCAGTGAAAACTGTGGTATCTCTTGTCTGTATTTTATTTATAGATAGCGATTTGATCTAGTATGCTTGGATAGACTGTTATCGTAATAAATTATTAAGTTACTCACTTTATTTCAAGATTTTCTTACTACATTTTTGCGTGTAACTAGCATTACAATCTCGCGTTAAGCATTTTATTTAACCAGCTAAATGTTTACATCAGTATGTACATCACCAGGTCCCTATTTACTGATAAATAAATAAACAAATAAGAATTCTCAGATATTCAACATTTGCAACCTGTGTAACAGAAGTAACTTAAGTGTTACGCACACTACTGGGAGAATAAGTGATTTACATACTTAACTATTTGATATTTTCTCAATAGAAAACCTGACAACAGAACTGGTTTCATGCGTGCGGAACTCAAGAAACATTCCTTCTCAAATAACTGCAATGACACACAGTTATTCACTCACTCGAAACTATAGTCAGAAACACGAATTTCCGATTTAAAATACAAGATCATAAGCAACTCGATAATTGCAGCATATTGTGGTCAGTGTATTACTTGATTAAATCCGATAACCGAATGCTCGCATGAAACACATACTGAGTGAGCCTAAAACGTCCCAATACACAGTAACCAATGAAGCAGTTACAGCAAATAAACCAAACTGGATGCGGGAATCTCTAGTCAAACCGGTCCAAAAGAGGCTAAGTAGAATTTCTACATTCGTGACTACCAATGGCTTTGAACACTAACCACAAACACCTCTTCATTGGGTGTCAGCGCAATTCTCGAACAAAATTATTGCCTCAGTATTTATAGCTCAAGAAAATCTAGAGGAAAGTTAGTTCGCATGGAGGATTTCATCATGAGCTGACATCAGTTAGAGAACCACTTGAAAGTTAGTTCGTCTCAGCAGTAACTGTCACTGTTGTTCACTTTAGGTTTTCATGGCTATATGAGTTTTCCCAACTACAGATAAAGTAATTATAACACTTTTGATACTTTGCATGTCAGCTCCAGTGGGTCATTTCAATTTGAAACGGTACACAGTGGTGCGAAAATCTGTTGTAATTCATTTGAGATACTGAGATACCATGCCTCCAGATAAATATTAATTATGAAGACTAACTTTTGTTCTTGATAAACAAAACGTTCCAGAAAGTAAATCGTTACATACAGACTTACCCTCATCAGTTGTTTTCACTCCTTTGTGACTAGTCATATCGGTATCAACATAACCAGGGCAACACTGTCAAATTCACAAAACAAAGAGGAATAAAGTAAAGAATTTCCAGTGTGTGGAAATATAGAGAAGATAACGTAGTACAGAGGTTTAGCTACTTCCTAGTTACCTTAGAGTGAGCACTTTGTGAACACAGTAGCATATTACAAAGTCCAGCACAAACTATCACTACGAATATCGGATACATTTCGGATTTACTGTAGTGATTGACTATTTCTATTACTGTATTGTTTAAATGTCTGTTAGTGTTTGTTTCTCTTTACTGCAAAAACATAAATATCAATTTCGGATTCCGGTCCTCACCGTATTGTTCTCAGACAAACTGGTATTCGGCCATTGAAGATTACAATTACAAAGTATCGCATTTACACATACGGGCACAAATGAACATCTAATTCAAACTAGAAAGAGTAACACATAAACTGCATCACGAAAGTGAGAACAAAATCATGAGTCTTTTACAATTCTGCAGATATGTACCACGAATTGCACAACAAAACTCAGAACTTTGTCGAAGCACCTGTAAAATAGGCACCGACAATGAGTCAAAGTGATAAGGTTTCAGTCATCTTTTTATACTTACTACACTTCCCACACCATTGTTCTTGTTAATATTGACTACTCTACGCTCACAAAAGACACACTGAACAGTATCCAACTAAAAACTACTTCAAGGGCCATGTGCCCTTTTAACTTCCCTATATGATCAAGATTAAAGAAAAGGTGACTCCCGCTTTATGATACCATATTTACGACAGGTGACGTGAGAAAACAAAACGTGTGCATGAATTAACTTCCTCCACTACATAGTCGCTTAGGCTAAATTTCGAAGGAATTATTTATGCATTACAAATCATATTGTGGCAGCAAATATTTTGCATCCTTATAACTCATACGTTGCAGTAAGCCTATCCAAGGCTGATTTAAGCATCAGTTAACGTATACAGTACAAATGTTGAAAAATAAGACTCCTGCTTTTAAAACATTAAGTGTACATAATAATAAATTAAAAGCATCTGTTACATGAACGACAACGTCAGGAATCACTGGTCAAATTCAACTCTGCAGGTAATTCACTGATGAATCATTTCGTGTTACTCTAGAGCGACATAGTGATGACAGAACAGCCAATAAAACCAATCACATTCTGGATCACAAAGGTGAGCAACTGATTTACATACATAGAAGCATTCACATACAACTGCATATATAACAGTGGTACAATAACTTTCAATCAATATTGTGTTTTTAAAGGAGAAAAGTTATTCACTGCAGCGTACTACAGCTACTACCTACCGATTATGTGTTGTTGCAATACAAAGCATCAGTTTCATAAACATGAAATTAATTTAAAGTAAATGCGAAAACGACAAAGTATTAAGGGGTTAACTAACTGAATTCATCACAACTTTTCTGGGATCATCTTTCAACATCTCTCCGAAAATGAATGAAGCTTTCGTAAGGCCCATCTTTGAAACGTTATAGGGAGCAGCGGGCCAACCTTTTGAAGAGTGAGTTCCATCCTCAGCACACCTATTGACCAGTGAAATATGAACAACATTACATGAGGAAAAACCTGCACAAATTTTATGCAAAGAATAACAAGTAATATGAGAAAATGAAGATTTGGGACACGCCAGGATGTATGAAACCAGAATACTAGACCAACTCATACAATGGCTTAATAACATGTTTGTTATGAATTTACTGCAACACAAAACTCAAGACTTATCTTGTGGAAGCAAATCTCGATTATCTTGGAGAACGGTCAGAGAAAGACAATACTTCACTCAGCATCATGGATGACGTTATTATTTATTTATCATTCATTAAGAAATACAAACTCAGTACAATCCGGATATCAGGGAATGTGTCACAAGAAGAATGGAAATATTAACTTTAGGTGAACGCAAAATACCTAGTCACAGGTTACAACTACTAAGAATATCTACTTTATAAACTTCGCCGTTTGAATCACGTACGAAGTCTACTGTTCCGTGAAATTAATAATAACTCGAGTAGGACATTAGAACTTCATACGACATCGGTCGACATAAAGATATATTGATCTTATTCACATTGAGAACTAATATTTTTGATGAACTAACACTACAAAAATGAGGCGTGATCGATGTTTTGCATAGACCTGTGCTTGGGTCAAAGATTTTTAGATGCTTAGTTGATACAGCACGGATGTCATCAGAATATATAAGAACATAGAGCCTTCAATTTCCACAATCTAACACTCACAATTATATAAACAACTACAATAACAATGGCGTGATTGGAACTAAATGAAAAAATGTAGAAGACTGATTGTTAAGGTCTAAGAGACACTGTCTGTACATCCTACGTGCATGTAGACTACAATCTAATTTAACTGTCTCTCATTCCACCTTCTAATCCAATCGCACTTGGATCTAACTACGGTTTTATCTATACAAGCTATTGTATGAAAATTCTTACAGATTTATAACTATAGGGCTTAATCGACTTTGCTTCATGATGATGAAGTTTTGAGTAATATCATTTCTGATGATGTCGTGACTAGAGAATATCCTAATTCCAATAGTTAATTATGTGCGATGTAGTTAGGGTTTGTGAGGCGTTATGAATTTTGATAATACTCTGGGCAACTTTTGCAGACGAAAGAGGTCTGTACTAAAGCGTAAAATCCTGATTCTCAAGAATCTTGGAAATTTTTTCATTCGAACAAATTCATACCTAAATTTGTATATTTAAAATCTCGTCCTGAAGAACATTTCCTCGCTATATTATTTTATATTTTCTGCACTAATAAACATTGTCAGGAACTCAGCAGAGGATTCCGGCGCTTTTGTCTTATTCTGTTAACGTATATATTTTAATACCCTTGTAATAGCGTTGGAAGCATTTTCTCAGGTTTTGAAGCAACAGAACCAGATGACTCGACTAATCGTCCATTATACTACACTTAAACAGTACATAAAAGTTGAGAAACTTACTTTACGAACTCGGCCATAAGTCCTCTCAGCTCTGAAATATTCATCGAACCAACAAATTTGTGGTACAACTCATCGCTTACTTCCCTTAGACTGACCAAAGAAAGAGAACTAGATACGTTGACAACTCTACAGAGTGAGAATAAATCTTATCTATGCACAATACCTGGCATTTTCAGCCAATAAAGGAATAGTCTCTTCAATAAAGTCAACAGTGCATGTGAAGTTAGTATTTATTGTAACCCGTGCCTGTTCACCGAATGGAACCGGTGAGTTTTCCTAAAAATGTAGGTAAATCCTTTCCTGAAACTACCTTGTACGCGATAGCCGCATTATTCACTGCAATGTTAATACCACTAGGATAATTCTTCCGTACGAACTCAAGGAAACTTTTACGACTCTCCGGCTGTGTTATATCTAATTGGTGAAATTTGACATCTAGGCCCTTGCTACTAAGCTTTTTCACTGCCTCCAGACCAAGTTCGACGTTTCGCGCTGCCAAATTTGACAGTGAAATATTTACATACCTGTCAAATAAATATCCCACTCTCCTGAATCTTTGTAAAATTTTGCAAGTTGTTCAACAATGCTATATCCAATACCCTTGTTAGATCCTGTTACCTGTTATAGAAATATGTTGCATCAAGGAAGTTAAAGTGAGCCTACAAAAGCCAATTTCATTGCAGTGATAGGATGACCCTTTCAATTTCACAGTCCTTACCGTACACGGTAGCTGCTTGTCTGAAATCTAATTTTTGAAAAGGCAGAATTTATACTCATGAGTTGGCCTTGGAGAAACTAAACATCCAATATCCAATGTCTTTTCGAGGATCTTAAAGAAGCGTCTCTATTTCTTAGTGTTCTTTTCCTGTTTTTTATGGAATTATTAGAGAAGTTTCGTGGATTTAAGGATGAAGAAACTATTACTGAATGCTACATGTCCAGTGAATAATATAAGGGTAGGCAAGTTGTTTATCCTGAACGGAAAGCGTGTTTTGAGTCAGGACAGTGGCACCGCTGGGAATTTATGGCGTCATTCTGCCATGGAATCCTTCAGACAGGCTGGGTAAAATTCGGAAGGAAGTAACAAAAGTGAGCTTTGAAAAAGGTGTGAATTTTCGTTGTATTATACACCACGAAAGCTTTCAAAAACTAACTCGAGTTATTGTTGTTGAAGTTCGTTTTTAATAAAATTGCGGTAATGAGACACTCTGAAACTGCTTATTCACAAAAGCTGCGTTCTTTTAACTGTCTTGCTTCCAGATTTTCTTAACTTTGTAAACCTTTTGCGTATTAGAACTGCAGTCTCTTCCCCAGTGTCCTGATTCGCCACATTCAAAGCAATGGTCCTTTCTGGCACTCATTTGCAGCGTCGGTCCTCCACACTGCAAATCTTCGATTTCCTGTTCCCGCTGGGTCTGTTTTGGCGGCTCTGCTGCGGCTATGGTTATGCTCAGCATGTGTCTCATTACCTTCACGAGCTTACTGATATCGATAGGATTTGCAGTTTTGGCCAGTTTTAATTTCCGAGCAATTTATCTCTTTCAAAAAACATGGAAAGCAACAAACAACTCTCGGATTCCTCATCGAATGTGAGAAGCTCGCGACGAAGTGGACTCGTCAACTCTACTGCCAGTGGTAGCATGCCCCCGTCCGCCTACAGCCTCACGCCACGGAACTGCCGCACCTCTTGCTGCCCGACAGTTGGGCTATCGAGCCCCGCCACTAATCGTTTCAACAGTACATTCCCGTTTTCTCCATCACCTCCACGCTCCATACTATACTGTCTTTGCCTGAATTCTCAGCAGCGTCCCCAGCACAACCACCCCCGCCGCAGACTTCTCGACTCCCGTTCTATCAGCAACAGTTTCCGAGTCCCATTATAAGCTCCGTATATTTCCTCCTTCGAATTCAGCAGACCGTGGGATCTTCATTTTCTGAAGTCAGTAAAACCGAGCGTGACACCAGCAGACGAAAGGATTAGTTAACAGGTTCATTTATTGATATCTTTTTATATGGGTGTAGTCAAAATGAGTCAACCATAATTGAGAATCACAATCTGTACACATCTTCAGTGGCGTAGATATGGGTCCTGTTCTAAGACATCACTTCGCAGAGTATTTTGTGGCCAACCAGAAAAACAACTTATCATCATCGATGAATGTGCTTCATTTCCGCGAGAGATCCATTGACGAGAGTTTCATTATTTGTGGTGAGAATATGGATCATGGAAAGCTACCCCAAATTTTTATTAATACCCACCAAAACATAAACTTTACTCCAGAAGTTGAATCCGATGCAATTTTGCGATTTTTCCATGTTCAGTGGCAAAGAAACGCTGACGACTCACCGAGGAGACCCCGAAACAAAAGCCTACATGGAATGGATAGCTTAGTAATTTTCGAAGTTGTGTTTCACCAAGCAGAAACAGAAACATAATAAATTCCACTTCCTCAAGGATCTGCACAATATGTAGCAAAAAATTTGCCGATTACTATCTATGGAGTTCACGAGGAATCTTAGTGGTAATGGGTTTTACATCCAGATCCTCAGAAAATAATCTTAAACCGATGAAAAACTTCTGTCGTATTTATATAACAGAAAAGGTCATTAAGTGGCAATAAATAATTGCTCAGTCAATATACATATATGTGATAAGAATAACGATAATTAAAATGTTATAAGGGATAGAGTTGAAGTGGATAAATTACAAAATTATTAAAGATTGTTTTATAAGTGAATTGAAAAATGTTTTAAAAATGTCAAATGTTGTCTAAAAATTTTAAAAAACAAGAGTACGATTACGATAAGAATGAAGATGTGAAGTGAAGTGGAAAGAATTCAAGTGGTAAAATAAAATAAAGTAAAAACTAGAAAGAACATTACTATGACCAAGGTAAAGAAAGGGGTTTGACAAAACGTTTTTGAACACATAATTTAGGTTTCTGTTCATGTATAGCTAAAGCTTCGGCTATGCATAAGTGAAGAAAACGTAAACTTTTGGATCGATTCGATTTTGCCATGTAGATAACTTTGAAAGATGAATCACGTGGGGCTAAATGATCTGACTCTAAAATGTGATCACAGATAGACGACTTCGCAGTTCTACGTTCACCTTTCATTAACAAGACTGGATAGTGTTCAGCTACATGTTTTCGGAGATTACGCTTACAACGTCCAATATAAACAGCTCCACAAGAGCAGTAATTTATCCACTTCAACTCTACTCCTTATAACATTTTAATTATCGTTATTCTTATCACATATATGTATATTGACTGAGCAATTATTTAGTGCTACTTAATGACCTTTTCTGTAATATAAATACGACTGCACAGCTTGAAAATGAAGTCGTTGAAAAGAAATTTCTTCGTTGAACAAAAACTGTGTTTTTACTTATGAATAAATGGGTATTTTTTCGTGATGAAAAACTTCTGGACAGTTCTGAGTTGCCCATAAAGTGATGCTGCTCGACTTCGAATTTAAAATGACACTTTGTCTTCAGCCTTCGAATGTCGTTTCCCTGCAGGAAATCATTCAGCCAGCAAGTGAATGACAAGCCATCACTTTGGACCACTTCAACATGCATATGCTAGTGCATTTGTTCATGATGACTTGGATGTATTGGCTGTACCATGCACTTTCTTGTAAAACGTGCTAGGGAACACTATCCGACCTCTCTGGCAGATGGACGACACAAGTGCGTTTATATTTCGGTGAACTCACGATCTTCAGATACATTTGAAAAGTCCTCTAAACTGATGTACAAGATCCGGTTCTCAAAAGGAATAAGATCAAGGCATCGATGTGTAGATAAGGCACTAGCGATTTAGAAGTTCAGGCCCACGCCATGCATTCAAAAGAAATACGTTCAGCGTATTATAATAAGTCAATCCCCTCAACAATGACAATCCTGTTACGTCTCCTACCGAAACATTCTAATTGCCTCTGTTACCTTTACTTTTTAACCTCTGTTAGTTCTACTACTTCCTTATCCAAGCTTCCTTTCTATATTGCTATGGCTGCTTCTTTAATCCTTACCTGCGCAGCAAGTCAAATTCCGCAGTTATAATGATGCCACCATGTTCCTATTTGGTCTTCTTCTCCTTTCGAGAGTACTGCCTTCAACGAAGGCACTGATATAGTAACAATAATATATTTATACCTAACTATGTAGGACGCACCAATTGTACAGGCATGGATAAGTATTATTTACATTACATGAATTTGATTTATGGTGAAATTACATGGTTGCGGTCCCTTCTGATATGTTTGTGAGTACAATCTGATAGCTAGTCATTCAGTGGAGCACACTAAGAAATATAGGAATATTGCCTTCGCATTAACAAAAAAACCCAGGTGGGTGTTGAATGGTTTACAAATATTTGGGAAAAAATAAAGCTTGAAATCAATTCCTCCATATAACTTTGATGTATGCGGCATCGTGTCTCGTTCTTGTTTTACGTTCAAATTGGGTACTAGTTTCAAATGAATGATTTACTTTTATGATTTTGACATCATTTTTATTGCAAGTAACACCAGATGTGAATTCTACTGAATGCAGATTAATATTGGTTATTGTCAGGCAGATTTCTTTTACTACACCCACGTCGGCCAAAGCCCGCCATTTGTAACTGCATGGTTGTTCCGTACGAGTAAGTTGATTAACGTGTAGAAAGCTATATGTAAGCCATTTTAGATCATTGACAGTTCTTGTATAAGATGCCGTACAGCGTCTTGTTATGGTGACAGTGGATTTAATCAAGGATGCTGAGCCATTACTAGCCAAACCTTGAAGGATGATATATGAGTGAGTGATTTCAGTTGTTTCTCAGCTTCAGTTTCGATGTAGATCAATGCAACTTCTATTACAAGGCAAATACAACAGAAGAGGCGAGCAGCGAATTGGCTGTTGTTAATTTTCACTACATGAATTACAATTAATTCTGCCAAAAACGGATTCCCAAATTCTACCTTATGTGCTGTTTTTTGGTTTCCTGTGTTTCGGTCGTCGCGAAATCTTATCGTCGCCAATATTATGGTGTGGCCAAGTGTAAAAATGCGCTAATGAGATATACCGGACGATAACGTACAGACTGGTATTGCTGAATAGTTCATTTGTCCCGACGCGAAGAGGAAAATCAGGAGACCACCACGTTCCCGAAGATACGTGTATTTTCCAACAAGGGAAATTAACTGTCACACAAGAGTGTGAGTGAAAAAGTACAAAAGTGTGAATTAACTGTACAATACAAGAGTATATAAAAATAACTAACACACATGAACCAGTAAGACAGATAGTAGTTTTTCTTACCACCACTGGATTCTGATTGGTTGTAATGTCATGTGACGAAGATGATACATTGTTTACTTAGTTAACGGACAGACAAGATATATTGTGAATTATAATGGAATAACGATCAATATACATATAGCAAATATATCAGACTGGCAAAACAAAGGCAGACATCATGTGACTGCATATCATTAATGGAGCAGCTATTCAAGATGATGTACGTTGCTAGGTGGTTCGCATATATCATCCTCAGCCAATCATAACTCCAGTCCCAACATATCAGAATTTCCCTCTGCCTCAGACACCTATGTGACGCTGGACATATGGTTTAGTGAATGTGGAGATCCGCTGGAAGATTTCGCGAAAAGTATGATAAATAAATAATAATATATATTTCATATAAACGGGTAAGTTAACATGAAATGCATGCCAATTTAACAGGCACGATCAATTATGT